GAAGGAAGGAAGGAAAGGAAGGAAGGAAGGAAAGGAAGGAAGGAAGGAAAGGTAGGGAAGGAAGGAGACAGAAGAGAAGGAAGGGAAGGGAAAAGAAAAGAAAAGAAAGGAAAGGAAAAGGAAAAGGGAAAGGAGAAAATAAAAGTAAAAGAAAAATAGTTAAAGAACTAATAGTAACTTCTGATTTTTTTTTTCAACAGTTACAAACAAACTCAATATCCTTTCTCCCTCTTGGTATTACAAAAATCCCTCCAATCTCTTATTTACTCCTTTTTCAAGCATCAAACCATAAATCTTCACTTCACTGTTTTTTTCCCCATTTACAGCAAAAAGTCCATAAACGGTTTCCAAGCTTTTATTTAAATAAATAAAATTTTAAAAAGTACAAGCGCTGCATTTTCCGAAGGACCTCAGAAACTCTCTGCAAAGTCACGTTTGCCTTCATTACACACAGATGGAAACACCGAGTACCGAAATGTTCCCTTCCTCTGAAAACACACCCTCCCGTTTCATAACAACCAGTGAGAGGTTTTCCCTTAACGCAACACTTCACTTTCCAAAGCCAGGATTTTTCCCTTGCCTTATCAGCACTCTGATCGTGTTCCAAGTCCAGAACAATTCACTTCTTGCAACATTTGGAACACCCCTCAAAAAAAAAAAAACCCTCTTCCCGCCTGCTCAAGATTTTGGAAGAACTGGATATTCCAGCTGAACCGAAGTCTGCAGATTAGCCCATGCTTAGCAAGTAGCTTCACCCTTCCCACCAGTTCTTCTCGACTTACTTGGAGTTGAGCGGAAGGCAGGTTGACGTCAGCCACCATTTCTGTACAAGGATGCTCGACCTGCAGCCGAGGGTTTAGCTCCAGGAAGTAAAAACTCCCATCCTGGCTGTAAAGATACTCCACCGTCCCGGCACTGACGTAGCCCACCATCTTGGCGAGTTTGACCGCGCACTGAAAAAGAGAGAAAGGACTACTTTCAAAAGACATATTTGGAACCAAAGACAACTTCATGAGATCATTTGCTTGGGGTAGTTTCTGAGTTCAAGAGAATGGGAGCCCATTGGACTCAAATCTGGTGAGGACTATGGGACAACGGAACTCACCGCCACTTAGAATTACCATTCTGCTTCGTAAAAGCCATCTTGCTCCTATCAACTTTTAAAGCATGAGGGCCATTTCAGTGGTTTACAGATTAACAGAGTTGGAAGGGACCTTTTTTTTNCCTGACAGTTAGAACAATTAATCAGTGGAACAGAAGTTGCCTCCAGAAGTTGTGAATGCCCCAACACTGGAAGTCTTTAAGAAGATGTTGGATAATTTGTCTGAAGTGGTGTAGGGTTTCCGGCCTGAGCAGGGGGTTGGACTAGAAGACCTCCAAGGTCCCTTCCAACTCTGTTATTTTATTCTATTCTATTATTGTGCTTATTTGTATTGAAATGTATGATACCCAGGTATCACACCATTCACTCATTGATATGTATAAATATAAAATAAAAAACCTGGGGGGGGGGGAAAGAATTTTGATCGTGGGGATGTGATAAAATATAAGTCACTTTTTCAATACTTTGTAACCCTGAACAGTCACTAAACAGATGGTTATAAGTCAAGGACCACCTGTAAAATATAATTCCACGCAGGCAACTAAACCAAAGGAGATCATACCACCTGATTCTTCTGCGATCAGCAGAGAAATCAAGAGAAGAAGAGGGACTTATGTCTCACTGTTCCTTCTTACTTACGAGATGGCTTCTTCACGGTTTTCTCCCCATGAGAAACAATGGCCGAACTGAGAGTCTGCAAATTCGTGAAGGCCTCCTGCGGCCGCCACGCTGAAGTAACCCCAGACGTTCTTATTACTGCGAAAGTTCAGTTCTTGGACTGTTCCGGAACTGGGTTTAAAACCCTGGAATATAAAATGGAACATTATTTTTTTAAGCACACACACACACACACACGGACGGACACACACACACACAAATGGATGCCCCCCCCCCCCCCCCCGCACACATGGGCCCACATCTGGCTGGATTGGAATTATTCATTTTAAAAGTCATCATTTCTAACAGGGCAAGAGAAGCATATTCCAGGATTCAATGTTAGAGTTTTTCAACCTCAGCAACTTTAAGATGTGAGGACTTCAACTCCCAGAATTCCTCAGCCAGCAATTTTAAGATTGTGGCCTTCAACTCCCAGAATTCCTCAGCCAGCAACATTTAAAATGTGTGGATTTCAACTCCCAGAATCCCCCAGCCCACAAGTTTAAGATGTGAGGACTTCAACTCCCAGAATTCCTCAACCAGCAACATTTTAAATGTGTGGATTTCAATGCCCAGAATCCCCCAGCCAGCAAGTTTAAGATGTGAGGACTTCAACTCCCAGAATTCCTCAGCCAGCAACATTTAAAATGTGTGGATTTCAACTCCCAGAATCCCCCAGCCAGCAAGTTTAAGATGTGCGGCCTTCAATTCCCAGAATTCCTCAGCCAGCAACATTTTAAATGTGTGGATTTCAATGCCCAGAATCCCCCAGCCAGCAAGTTTAAGATGTGAGGACTTCAATTCCCAGAATTCCTCAGCCAGCAACATTTAAAATGTATGGATTTCAACTCCCAGAATCCCCCAGCCAGCAAGTTTAAGATGTGAGGACTTCAACTCCCAGAATTCCTCAGCCAGCAACATTTAAAATGTATGGATTTCAATTCCCAGAATTCCTCAGCCAGCAACATTTAAGATGTGTGGCCTTCAATTCCCAGAATTCCTCAGCCAGCAACATTTAAGATGTGTGGCCTTCAACTCCCAGAATTCCACACATCTT